GGGTCCGGGAAGGAGGAGGCCGCGTGCCTGGGACCCACGGGTGAGGACTGAGCGAGCCTGGCAGCGAGAGACTCCGGCGCCCAGGCGCCCCCTCCGCCTGCCTCCCGATCTCCGCCGCCCTTGCGCAAGGCGAGTACCCGGCACCACGGGTGGGCTGGGCCGCGTGCACTGGGCGGGTGTGGGAGGACCGTCTCAGGCAGGGCCAGGGCTTTTCGGTACTTTTTCGGGTAAATTTCCAGAGTGCAAAGTGCTGGTCTCTGGTTTCAGCCCCTTGGATTTTGCTCCCGCGTGTGGGCGTCTAAAAGGAAACCAGAAGCGGGTAAGTGATATAAAAATCCCACTTACTGTTGGGATTTGGCTTGGGGAGGATGACAATCCAGATAGACAACTAGAATCTCCCTTCATTCCCCCTCTTCCCAAAAGAAAAATAAAAAGGAGCAGCCCTTTATCGAGTTTCAGGCACCAAGCTGTTTACTCGGTGGATTTAATGAGTTTGCTCTGATCTTCGTGCTCCCCCGCATCCTGCTTGTTACACACTTTGAGACGACGGGCCTGTAAATTAACTTTAATTACAATAATTTGGCCTCCACCTGCCTGAACCGGGCACGGTACTCGGGGAGCTGTCAGCGAGTTGACCAGATTGATCTTTCTCGTTTACTTTTGGAGACAGGTCTCTTGGGGGAATGAGTGTCCATCTCATTTGGTAAAGTAAGTTCTTCCTGGCTTGTTTTCTTGAACACTTCACTCACCTTCCTGCATCGATCTGGAGTTATTTTGATTTGGAAGAAGACTTCGTGAAATTATATTGTGAACTATAATCTTTGATAATAAGAGGAAAATAGAAGCTAGTTTGTGTGTAATAATTGTTTTTTAGGCTGTTGCGAATTTGTATGGTGATAAGCAACATTTTTTTTTTTTTTGCAAGGTTGTCCTTGAAGTAGGTTGCTCAGTAGAATATATCCTTTCGATTAAAAACAAAAATGTATTGAAAAAGAAGCTATTTTTAAAAGTACCTTTAATCGGATGTCATTGTGATTACCAATAATAGTATTGTACTTACAAGCTCAGTATTGATTCCCCCCGCACTTAAGCACTCTGCACCCCAGCCAGTATGTGGAACGTTGCCCATAAGTAATTGGAAGATGAAGTTATGGCTGTTCAAAAAAAGGAAGGTAACTTTTTTTAAGCAAGAAGAGAAATACCTCTAAACTCTTAGTTATGACTTCCATGCACTTACAAGAGACATACTGAGAGAAATTCTTGTGACAGTTTAACAATGTTTAAAAAAGAAAGAAAAAGTAAAATGGGTCATGGAACTAGGCTAGAGCCTAAAGTGGAACTGTCTCTCTGGCTCCTTTTAAAACATGTTTAACACACACATTTAAGGTGGGTCTTAACACCAAGGGTATGTTATAGAGATTTGATTTGTCAGTACTTACAGGTTTATTTAAATTAAAATACCTGGAGGGTAAGTCAAGTGACTTGTTTAAACTTATTTACGTGGACATGTTTGTATTTTTTCATTATGTAAGCCTGTCACATTTTATGTGGGTTGTCAACGAAAGGAGAAGCTGAGGGTACATTTAAAAACAAATTCTTAATCATTTAAAATAGCTACAAATTTCTAGCAGTATGAGGCTCATAGATATTCAATTAATACTTTAAAATTTAGTTATTTTTAGTTACTGTGGTTAAGTATAAGACTCAGATTATAATGAATTGCAATTTTCTTGTAAACTCTTACGTTAACGCTATGAGAAACTATGAAGTTTTAAAAACCTGCTTTAGGACTCTGGGTTATAGACCTTATGATATCCAAGAAGGTATTTTTGTTTTGTTACTTTATCCTTCTTTTTATCCACCTTTGAGAAAGTTTGGTGAAAGATGTTATAAAAATGCTCAGTATAAATGATTGTCATTGCTTTAATAGCCTTATTTTAACAAGTGTTTTTTCCCCCTCATTGATTTATTGACTCATTGGATCAAGCCTTTGCACTTAACTCTAAATTGAGGAATTTTAAAATTCTCTGTAAAATATTAATTAGGTAGAGAACTTATTGTTAATATTAGAAATATTTCTTAGTTTTGACCAGATGTGATTAATGAGAGATTAGAGGCTATGAGATGTCTTCTTAATTTTTTTTTGTGAGTCCTAGACCCCTGTAGTTTATCATTTTAGGTTTCTTTTGGACATTGGCCAGATTAAATATATAATGATAAACCATTTTTCTTGCTTATTTCCTTAATCGAAGCAATAGTCAATGATGTCCTCTTCACATGGTCCTTTCTAGTTAGAAATTTGGTCTGTGAAATTTTGTTACAATTTTGACTCAGCAAAAACTTACTTCCTTACCCATGCTAAGGACAAAACAAAGGAGTTCTGATCTGGGTTGAAGTAGTCTTTTTGAGCAGCGTCAGGGGTAAAAACTATAAAAAAAAAAAAACTATAAAAAAAACTATAAAAAAAACTTTTTTTTTTTTATCTTATACCATTTGCATACAAAGGTGCATGGGTAGGTAAGAAGGTAAGCAGAGAAGGGCTGATAAGATAGTGACCCTGCCCCCATAGTTCTCACAAAATTGACATGCAAAAAGGACTCGGTTACATTACGTAGCTTTAGGAAGCAGAGAGAATGGTTTAAAATGTTTGGAGTTGGAGAGATGATCAGGAAAGAGCAGGAGAGAAGTGAGGTTTTTATGCTGATTATCAGGTGACTTGGGCTTGTGGAGGTGGCAATGGCAAAAGTGGTCACCAGACCTCTTTCACAGTATCTTAATGAAGTTCAGAATCCTTAGGCTCCTGTTCAAGGCCCTCCATAGCCAGTTCCAGCTTCCTTTTCTGGCATTACCTTTCATTGAACCCTCAGTCCCTCCCAGCTACTCTCATTTCCTTACTATTGCCTGAAGCATCTTCTCCCTCTCTGCCCCCTTTATGTTATGGCATTCTTTCTACATCAGATGCTGCTGTCTCCACCTGCTACATTTCTTCCTGCACATCTTGAAACTCCCCTCCATAGATCCTTCACTGAGCACTCCATCCTCAAGGCTCAAATTGCTACATATTTCACTTACCTGCTTTGAGATTTTGAGAGTTCCTTGGTGTTCATGAAAGATAATGGTACTACTTCTTTATGTACTTAAAACTGTACTTAAAATGTAAACCACATGAAACTCAAGGAAGTTGAGTTTTTGATTTTTCTTATCATTATTATTTAAGTGCTTTTTTTGGGGTACATCTGAGTCTTCCAATTGTGGTATTCCTTCTTTACTGGCCTTACTGCATTGTAAAGAACTGACTGTTCATATGCATGCTATTTTCTTTTGCTTGTAGTCATGTCTTATCTACTCTTTTAGATTTTAAACTCTTTGAGAGAAGGCAATTGCATCTTCACTTTCTCTGTGGCACTTGACAGAGTTCTCAAATGAGGTTATAGGTGCTGTTATCTTGAACTGCAAGTATTTCCCGCTATTATCTTGGAGAGAATAAATTGTGTCCCTTAAATATTTATTGGATGAAGAAATGTAAATAAATGAGTCAGTAAGTCAGGAGACAGTTGCTGAGATATCATCCTTTCCTAAGAAAAGGAGACTTTGACAGTTACAGAACCACTAGGTATGAGCCCTCAAATTCAGTTGGAAAAGAGGTCAGGGTGCTATTTATAAATGCAAAGAGAGGAAAACGGTTCACAGTAGGCTATTTTGAAACATCTGGTTCTTAGTCTAAGAATGTGGCTCAAATTCAGAAATGGTGGGGTGTACACATTTGTACAAAATTTTAAAATTTAAAACATGTGTACATAAAAAGTGTATATATAAGTATACATTTTTAAATCTTTTTATTGAAGTGTAATGTCATGTTAGTTTTGATCTAAGTTAAACAGTAAAGCTATGTTCAGTGTAGCATGAATTGAACTAGAATTCTGAATATGTGCCTGTTTTTATACCAAGAGTTCTAAGGGGATCTGACTCTCCTTTCAGTTAGATGTGGCTAGATTGTAGAGGGAGATGTAGGAAGGGCCTGGCACTTAGCAGAAGGAGCTGTCCAGGTATTATTAGGGACACGCAAGTGGGAGTCCTCCACAGTGATAAAAAAATTCCACTTATATTCCTTTTTATTATCCCCACGTCTGCTCTTGTAGGAACTCGGGAAGAAGTCTTCCTCCAGTTGCCCAAGAATTATGGCTCTATTCTAAAGCTCTCTGAATTAGAATCGAAAACAAGTCTCAAACATTAGCCAGTTAACTTAAAATCTAGGTGGATAGCTTGAAAGAGAATACTTACTGAAGCCATTTAACTATTTAGATATTATCTAAAATAAGAGTCCCCAACCCTCGGGCCAAGGATGGGTACTGGTCCATGGCCTGTTAGGAACCGGGCCGTACAGCAGCAGGTGAGCGGTGAGCGAGTGAAACTTTATCTGTATTTGCAGCTGCTCCCCAGTGCTAGCATCACCTCCTCAGATCATCAGACATTAGATTCTCATAGGAGCACCAGTCCCTGGTGCCACAAAGTTTGGGGACTGCTAATCAAAAACACCTAAACGAAGGTACTTCTTATGTTACCGATAACTTCTCATAACAAGCAAAAGAACTATCAGTTCTCATCTTCAGCAGCTTTGGAAATGGATATTAAGTTCTAGATTTTCAAAGACATATTTTTCAGATTTCAATGTAAATAAAATAATCAAAACATAACTTAGAACAATCCTTTCTCATTGATCCAAGCTGCAAATGCTTTTGTCCAGAGAGTGACTATTTCAAACCTCAGTTATTCTCCACTTAGCAGACACTAATTCAGTGCTTTTTACTTGCCAGGACTTTTCTAAGATCTTTATGTATATTTAGTCATTTCATCTTCAAAACAGTCTTGTGCATTGCCATCACTGCTTACACATGACAGCAGGAAGGCTCAGAAAAATAAAGGAACTTTCCCAAGGTCATGCCGCTAGTACATGGCAGCGCTGGGTTCAATGATAATCATGATAATCAATGCATTCTATGTACCAGATCTAAAGTCTTTAGGTAAGATCATCATTCTCACTACTCCAACCACATCAATATTTTACTAAATTAATAAAACTATGTTTACTGCTGTTAGGTGCTTTGTAGGTTTATTAGAAGAAAAATTTACAATGCTAATTTAAAGGAATGTAATTTTACTGTAGAGGCAGAAGACTACCAGTCAAAGCAATAATATGGTATGAATATGACCAAGTGCAATATTGTATACAACAGATGAATTAGTAATAATAGCCAATATGTATTGTACATTTATTATTCATGTCAGGTACTGTTATATAAACATCTTAGATATTTCACT